TATTCTTGCAAGCGCACTCCATTCCCATTGGTCAAGGATCTGTCAACACGACCGAAGAGAGCTCGATAGGGGATGCAAATGTGCGTTGTGAATCAGTAGATCTAAGACCTTTAACATAGTCAGTCTTCTTTTACCTTTGAACCCGGTGCATCGAGTTCTAAAGGAGTCACTGCCAGTTCAGGACCGGCAGACACAACACGTACTGTCCGGCCTTGAGAGACGGGATGTAGTTGGTGTTTTGTTGCTGGCAAGCGAGGATGTCGGCATCGCCTCTGGGTAGAGTCACCTTGGCGGTGGCGTTGACGTCGGCATCGCCTTCGGGTTCAGACACCTCGTGGAGCGAACGAGCGCGATCGTCGATGCCCGCGATGGCGTTGTTGGTTTGGGCGGTGGCTGATGCCGCGAAGAGGGCAATGACACTGAGGAGGGAGTACTTCATGGGAAAATGAATAATGAGGAAAGGTATTGTATTGGGCTGTCAAAGCGTCCTGGAATGGGTTTGTGATGGTGTGGTAGGAAGTTGGAAGGAATTCTCAGACAGATAGAGGGGCGCAATGACCTTGGCCGGCTTGTTCGGCTTCACGTACTTGCAATCTCAAGGCACATTTTCACGCCCAGTGCAACTATAGAACATGTGTATCATCTGAGTCGACATAGTATAGGTGACCTGAGATGTGGTTAGGGTGACATAGTAAAGGTGACCTGAGATGTGGTTAGGGTGGTATGTTGAAGATGGTAATCATCCGAGAGTGTTGCATGTAGTGCAAGTACTAGTACGCAAGCCTCATTATATTTCGCGACTTCGGCATTTAATTTCGTGGGAATGTCGAATTCACTAACTCAGTATATTTCGTGGACTGTGGGTATATTTCGAGCTTTGCTCAGGTAAATTCGCAAACATCAAATATATTTCGTGGCGAGACCAATATATTTCACATAAATGTTAACGCAATGGGTGTATTTATATACTATTAATAGTAGGAGTGACGACTGTAGGCTCCAACCAATTCGTCGTCCATGTTTTCGGCTCTGTGTTCGGGGTGGAGAGCGTATACGATTCACATCAACTCCTATGACAATCACCACTACTCATACACTACGTGGTATCAGAAACATACCTAAAATGACTTGGTCAGCAATATGCTCCAGACATTGCGTTCGGAATTCCAGCTCCACCAGGGGGTGGCCCAATGAATACAGCGAGTGGCTCACGAAGCAACTCTTCACACGGGGTTTCATTGCTGACCACAGGTTCTCGATTGGATTCACCCTGGGCGAGTATGGACTACAAAAATGTCCCGATGACAGCAAAGCAATAAAAGTGGTACATTGCTATGCAGACATCGGGACGTTTCTCTACGTGCCTCGTCGACGTGGCTGACATTCGTTAGTTATGAGGTCAGTTTGTGTGTGCTTTACTGGGGTTTGAGGTGATGGAGGTTCATCGCCATCGGGGAGGTTAGAAGGTCGGGATCCGCGAGGATCTGTTGCAGCGAGAAGCTTTGAAAAGTGCACGAAATACAGTTTCGCGTACAGTTTTCTGACCAATCAGAGCGAGTTGAAGCGAACGTACGAAATATATTGGTCTCATCACGAAATATGATGGATGCTTGCGAATCTAACTGAGCAAATCACGAAATATACTGGCAGTCCACGAAATAAAATGAGTGAATTCGACTTCCCACGAAAATTAAATGCCGAAGTCGCGAAATAAAATGAAGCTCCGCGAATTTAAATGGGATTCCACGAAATTTACCAGATATTTTTCGAAATTAACCGCAAAATGGCGTACACGTGACACAATCAATCTAAGGCATGTTTGCATGGATGGCCCGAGCTAAACGACGGAACCGTGGAGGTAGTGCTGTCGTCAAGGTGTAGGCCACGTGTGGTATGGCGTGGCCTGAGTTTGGCGCGGTGCATACGGACGGGGTGTGGACGAGAGACAATGAATTTGCAACAGCATTTCAAGAATCTACAATTACAGAATCACTAGTATTAATTCCCCACAACTATTCCACATGTACCATGTTCCTTGATCCACGTGGTAGGGAATTGGATGGAATTCTCAGACTGATAGAGGGGCGTAATGGCCTTGGTTAATCGAGTTTGGATTATTATTTTTAAGACATTCCTCCGCGAGGGCCGATACTAGAGCCACATGTTGTGGAACCGCTTCCCCAATTGTAACGCGCCTGCTCGACCAGGGGCGGTGTGTAGTCTTCGGTTTTTACTTCGCTCAACGCTTCATACAGTCCTGACAAAAACTATAGACGCACTCGAGTTTTTGAAATATTTTAAAAAGTATTCAGTTTTGAGTCATCGCACTTTGGGATTATGCTTTGGATTGGTATCGAATTGTAATACTAGTATAAAAATTGTGAAATCCATTTTACTTTTTTGTAAAATTGAGAAAAACCAGTTTTCAGGGTGATAAAATCTATATACTACTAGTATAGACGCACAGAGATTTCATAAAAAAATGCCAAGTTTCTAGCCATTTTTGCCCAATTAAAGCATTCTAGAACATTCTAAATGTAAGCCTAGCTTGTCAAATGATCATTTTGTTTGAAAATATTCATCTTAAAAAAATATACATTTTCAGGAAAAACATGGCGCACCCCGGGAATTGAACCCAGGGCCCATCCACCACCGCCTGATCGTCAAACCGGCCAAGGCCTTGAGTTGTTAGTTTGACCATCGTTTAGGTCAGAATAATAAAAAATATGGACAATAATTGTTCCGAGTCAGAAATATTGAATTTTTCGGTTGTTCAAATTTCAATAAAATTATGAATTGTTCGTCCGAACGACAATACTACGTAGTATATTGAAATTATATATTGACAAGCTAAAATTAATTTAAATATATTTTTCCCTAGCCCTGCTCGTGTTTCGACCGATCTTCTTCGAACTTCGGCCCTCGTCTTCGTATGCAGCCCTTGATATCCGGATTCCCAAGGGGGGACGGATAAATCCTTGCGGAAATAGTCCAGGGAGGCCGTGGTTCGAACCCACGACCTTTGAGTTAAGAAACCGATGCTCCACCACTGAGTTATTTTCCCTCCCCGCGTAATGGCCTTGGCAGGCTTGCTTGTGTCCACTACATAGCCTTGGGATACATACTGGTACATGTATGTAAACCTTACGATCAGGTCAAGAGGTCAAGTCCAGAGGTCTACTGTACTTTGGTCAACTGGACTATTCATAGTACTGTAGTACTGTAGGGTTCATGAGCAGCAGATAGAGTAAATTGGAATATTAATAACCTAACGTTACGGAGCATGTGACTTCCAATAAAACTGGGAATACTAGTAGTTGGTTACCTGGTACTGTACTGTAGTGATGGACAGATTCTCTGCAAAGCACAGAATAACTCGATCTCCGATTTGATGTAGTGTCTCAAATTGACCTACTAGTACTACTGCACAGTATTCCGAATATTTGATTATTGTCTCAAATTTGTCAAGAGGTCGAGGAAAGAGTAGCACTTAAGGCCAAATCAGACAGGCCAAAGTGCCCCTCTTTGTCAAGAAGGGGCACTTTGGCCGTTCTTGCTTTGGCCTTTTTCGCCGAGGTTCGGTCAATTACGGATAATATCCGGTCATTCGGAATTATCCGGTGTTCTCTTTCTGTAGAAACCGGACTGTTTATGCCCAATCATAGGTCAGCTAAACAGTCCGTTAATAATCATCTTTGGTTTTGCCCTCGACCACACAAGTGTTCTTCGTCGTCGTTCCTCCCCAGTGCTATCCACTTTATCGTCCCTCTTGACAAGTTATGAGCCTCCTCCCTTCCTCTGTGCAGCCCTTCGTGGGCACCCCACTCGACGACCTACGGCCTCTGGCCTACACCTTGTGGAAGACGGACTTCTTGTCCCAAGCGACCTCCCGCGACCTTGCTGAGTTCTACTCTACAAAGGACTATGTCCCTCAAGGCAACCGCATTGATGCGCTCAACATCAGCAAGATGTACCTCGAACTCGATCAAGTCGAGCACTCTGAGCTCTATGTTGTCGACCCGACTCTGTCGGAGACCGATCGCGCGGCACGTCTCGCTGAGATCAAGGCGCACACCACCGCAATCCAACGCGAGGTCATTTCCCGTGAGGCGACCAAGAAACTGGCGAATCAACGCTCTGCGGCGCACACCTTCTTGGTATCAGCCATTTCTACGAACCTCCGGCGCCTCTATCAGGCCACTACGTGTCCGTTCGAGCTCTTTGAGCACATCAAGACTCGTTTCGAGTCGAACCCCATGGACAATAATCCTACGGTCATTGCCAGCTATCTACGCAACTCTCAAGTTCACCGATGAGAGTTGCATTGACACACTCTCTGTGGAGCTTATTGACTTGGTCAAGCGCTACCGTGTGTCTATGACACCGCCGTCGTTCAATCCTCTGGATCCATCGGCGATCTCGTCCGTCGACTACCACAACCATATCTGGAATTACTACACTCTGTGTGCAATGTCGGACACGTTTATTGGTGACAAGAAATTGTGGGAAGTTGTGACGAACTCAGTGGCCACCGCGCGCGCCGCCAACCAGTCCGTTGTCGTTGCTGACGTTTGGGCCTCTCTTCGGCGTATTATTACGAACCGCCAGCAAAGAGCTTCTGCTCTGGGTGACAACGGCTCTGCCGCTACCCTCCAAACACGAACCCAGCTTGCAGCTGTCACGCATGCCGTTGCGGCTCCTGCGCCACCACCTCAAGCGATTACGCAAGCCGATGGCTCTGTTCATGTTATGAACGCCTTTACTATCCCGAGCTATGCTCACCGTGATTGTATCAATCATCCCGGCAAGTCCTGCTTCTACTGCGGCGTTACCAATCACACGCTTCCTGCGTGCCCTACCCTAAAGTCGGACTATGCCCGCAACTCTATGCGTCCTAGTTTTGACCGCGCCGTCTTTGACAAACATGGCTCTGCCTCCCAGAAGAAGCGCAAACGCGATTATGTCGCTCCGTCGCGTCCTATCCAACGTCCTCGTGATGACCGCGATGATCGCGATGGCCGTAGTGGCAACCAGGGCTCTAATAGCCACCATGGATGGGGACCTAGTTCCTCTAGTGGTCCTGGAAATGGCGGGTGGAACAACAATCGTGGCAACAGCCGTGATAAAAATCGTGACCGCGATCA